TGGCAGGGAAAAAGCACATCTGAATAAACATAGTTATTGACACTCTTATGTAGGTGTCATAACCACCATAAAATAACGTATATATGTAACAACAGGTGTAAATATATGGGTCATCACAGTGTTATGACCATATTATGACAGGTTATGACAAGTTATGTAATCTGTTATAACATATTATGACATGGTTATGACCGTGTCATAACGTGTTATGACGCTGGGTGTCAAGTAAAGTGTTACCCAATTTTATACATGTGATGTGAAAGTGGCTTCATGTTAATTATACTGTATAAAGCTGAAATAAGCAAAGATACACTAATTTCTTGTGCCTGTAGTTTCAGAGGGCATGCATGGGTATTGAGACTGTCCTTGTTTATGCCTCTAAACACTCCAAAGCTGTCAGATGTCAGATGTTGTGCCTCTCTGGTAATGTGTAGAGGAAGGTGTGAATTTGAGGCCTGTATTTCCATGTTCCCTCCTTTGCATTTACTCTTATTTTCCCTTCTTATATTTATGGGAGTCCCCGGGAATTGGCTACTATATAAATTCTCTCCTTTTATAAATAGTGGGGTTGTTGTTCCCTATGATGAGGATATGGAATGTGTTTGGAATGGATGTGTTGTTTAAGAGGACAATGCGAGGTGAGCAAGCGAGGGGATGACCAGTGTGAATATGTGAATTAAGCCCACTGTGGATTTTGGACTGCACTTTGTCTCCAGTGGACATTCCAGGCCAGGCCATGGGGGGAAGATTTATCTTACGCATGTGTTTCTAAATCCAACGCACAGAAGGCAAAACCAAATTAGACTGTGGCTTAGCTCGGGTTTCCTCTCGTCCAGAAGCTCTACTCTAGCTAGTAGCTAGCCAGTCCTCCAGGCTCAGGGTGGGCGCTGATAGGTGGTAGAGGCCCAGTCACTGGATCTCCTGCAGGGCACACTGAGAATACCATGCTGGCCTGCTGGGTGAAAGCAACGCACAGGGAGTGTCATTTGCATCTCAAATTATGTTCAATTTAATAATAAACTACATTCATCCATCTGACTTCATTATTATGTGAATAAATGCAACAGGCCCTGTGTGTCTCTGGAGGAATCTAGTCAAGGTAGCGAGCCTTGCTTTACCTCTCAGTATGACTATAATGAACATGTGTCTAACTTGCACAGTCATGCAATTATTAAGAGACTAGATACAAACAGCTAATCCTGGCAACCAATGTACCAGCATTAATTTATTGAGTCAAGTATACCAGGGATGTCAAGGTGGAACCCAAGCATATACACTGCATTCGGAAAGTATTCAGATCCCTTGACGTTTTCCACATTTTGTTACGTTACAGCCTTATTCTAAAATGGATTAAATTGTTTTTTTCCCTCATCAATCTACACACAATACCCCATAACGACAAAGCAAAAACAGGTTTTTAGAAATGTTTGCAAAGGTATTTTTAAAACCCCCGGAAAAGTATTCAGACCCTTTACTCAGTACTTTGTTGAAGCACCTTTGGCAGCGATTACAGCCTTGAGTCTTCTTGGGTATGACGCTACAAGGTTGGCACACCTATTTTTGGGGGGTTTCTCCCATTCTTCTCTGCAGATCCTCTCAAGCTCTGTCAGGTTGGATCAGGAGCTTCGCTGCACAGCTATGTTCGATCTGGTTCAAGTCCGGGCTCTGGCTGGGCCACTCAAGGACATTCAGAGACTTGTCCCAAAGCCACTCCTGCGTTGTCTTGGCTGTGTGCTTAGGGAAGGTGAACCTTCGCCCCAGTCTGAGGTCCTGAGCGCTCTGGAGCAGGTTTTCATCAAGGATCTCTCTGTACTTTGCTCCATTCATCTTTCCCTCAATCCTGACTAGTCTCCCAGTCCCTGCCGCTGAAAAACATCCCCACAGCATGATGTTGCCACCACCATGCTTCACCATAGGGATGATGTTGGCCAGGTGATGAGCGGTGCCTGGTATCCTCCAGGCCAAAGAGTTCAATCTTGGTTTCATCAGACCAGAGAATCTTGTTTCTCATGGTCGTAGTGTCCTTTAGGTGCGTTTTGGCAAACTCCAAGCGGGCTGTCATGTGCCTTTTACTGAGGAGTGGCTTCCGTCTGGCCACTCTACCATAAAGGCCTGATTAGTGGAGTGCTGCAGAGATGGTTGTCCTTCTGCAAGGTTCTTCCATCTCCACAGACGAACTCTGGAGCTCTGTCAGAGTGACCATCGGGTTCTTGGTCACCTCCCTGACCAAGGCCCTTCTCACCTCCCTGACCAAGGCCCTTCTTGCTCAGTTTGGCCGGGCGGCCAGCTCTAGGAAAAGTCTTGGTGGTTCCAAACTTCTTCCATTTAAGAATGATGGAGGCCACCGTGTTCTTGGGGACCTTCAATGCTACAGAAATGTTTTGGTACCCATCCCCAGATCTGTGCCTCGACACAATCCTGTCTCGGAGCTCTATGGACAATTCCTTCGACCTCATGGCTTGGTTTTTGCTCTTACATTTACATTTTAGTCATTTAGCAGACGCTCTTATCCAGAGCGACTTACAGTTAGTGAATACATATATATATATATATTTTTTTTTTGTATATATACTGGCCCCCCGTGGGAATCGAACCCACAACCCTGGCGTTGCAAACGCCATGCTCTATCAACTGAGCTACATCCCTGCCGGCCATTCCCTCCCCTACCCTGGACGACGCTGGGCCAATTGTGCGCCGCCCATGAGTCTCCCGGTCGCGGCCGGCTGCGACAGAGCCTGGATTTGAACCAGGATCTCTAGTGGCACAGTTAGCACTGCGATGCAGTGCCTTAGACCACTGCGCCACTCAGTGCTCTGACATGCACTGTCAACTGTGGGACCTTATATAGACAGGTGTGTGCCTTTCCAAATCATGTCCAATAAATTGAATTTACCACAGGTGGACTCCAATCAAGTTGTAGAAACATCTTAAGGATGATCAATGGAAACAGGATGCACCTGAGCTCAATTTAGTCTCATAAATAAGGTATTTATGTTTTTTAATTTGTACAAATTTGGAAAAACCTGCTTTCGCTTTGGCATTATGGGGTATTGTGTGTAGATTGATGAGGGAAAAAATAATTTTATACATTTTAGAATAAAGCAGTAATGTAACAAAATGTGGAAAAAGTGAAGGGGTCTGAATACTTTCCAAATGCGCTGTACTATGTGTAGTGTAAATTATATTTACCAATAGAACTACTAAATTATGAACATATAGTTAGTCACAGAATTACTCTGTAAAATGTGGAATGCATTTATTCAATTCAACTAATAGGATTTATTAGTCATGAAAGAATGAACACTCAAACAATTGCAGTGTACATGAAATACATGATACATTACAGAATAATACAGAGTAAATGACTATCAACTAAATAAGACTTAACGTGGTTACAGGTGTCTTCAGTTCAAAATAATCTCTAAGAAAAAAAACGATGTGTGTCACACATACAGGAACTTGCTAACAAGTTCTCAGAAGTATGAACGAATTCACTGTCCTTTTAACCAAATTCAAGCAGAAACTCATGCCCAAGCTGAATTAAAATTGCTTTGCACTTTGCTAGTTAAAACAATAAGCAGGAAAACACACCCAGATTCTAATCTAATCAACTGAATTTAAATGATAGGACCACACCCCTGGACCACACCCCTGGACCACACACGTCTGCTGTCCGACGAACTGAATAACACAGTTTCTCTGTAACTATAAATCCATAGCACTTACATTACAATATAACATATCAAAATGTGTAGCTTTTTGAGAACTCCTGAAACAATCCAAACATGACAATTTTATTCACAGTAACATTCATTTAGTTGATTCAAGTTTCATCAGTCCAGTGACTCCAGGACTCGTCCCCGAGATTGCCACAGATAAGGTGTGGCTCTCTCCTGTGAGATGCAAATATATGGCCATCCATCTAAATAATTACATTTACATTTTAGTCATTTAGCAGACGCTCTTATCCAGAGCGACTTACAGTTAGTGAGTGCATACATTTTCATACTGGCCCCCCGTGGGAAACAAACCCACAACCCTGCCGTTGCAAGCGCCATGCTCTACCAACTGAGCTACAGGGTGGTATTGAGTCTTCATGCTCGTCCTCAGCGCCTGCAAGTTGCTAGTCGCGAGTATCACCTTCTCAAATTGTTCCACTACAGTTAGATTTCATGTATCTGATACGTTGAGGAGATGAATCATCAGATCAGACTGGGTGGTCAGAAGAAGATCTCCCTGGTGACAGGGTGGGTTTCCTTCCTCACTCAATCGTATCAAGAGGTCCAGTCTGTCTGTTGTTAAATGGAGCCTCTGTTTTAAGGGTGCCACTTAAATCACACGAACAACCCCATCTCTCTGGAATGTTGGGATTACCTCAGACGGTTCCATATACTTGTTTCTGTTTTCCTCACGATGCCGTGGCATGGTGGAGCCCTTTTCATGTTAGCCAAAATGTATCTGCTTTTCATTGTCAAGTTAATAATTGTCTCTGTTACAGTCAGTACATGTCTTAACGCTTGGAACTGGAAGACGAAAAGGAAAAGTATATTTTGTGTGTCTTGTGTTATGCTTGTCCTCTTCCTCTTAGCAGTGTGTCTCCAACGCAGTGATATGTGTTGTTGTTTTCATGCAAAGCATTTAGAAGTGTCATGTTGCTACTCTGATGGGTTGTTGAACCTTCCCCTAATGCTGTTGAAGTGTGTGTGTGTGTGTGTGTGTGTGTGTGTGTGTGTGTGTGTGTGTGTGTGTGTGTGTGTGTGTGTGTGTGTGTGTGTGTGTGTGTGTGTGTGTGTGTGTGTGTGTGTGTGTGTGTGTGTGTGTGTGTGTGTGTGTTTGTGTGTGTGTGTGTGTGTGTGTGTGTGTGTGTGTGTGTGTGTGTGTGTGTGTGTGTGTGTGTGTGTGTGTGTGTGTGTGTGTGTGTGTGTGTGTGTGTGTGTGTGTGTGTGTATATGGATTGCGTCCATACTCCACAGGGATAACTTGAAGTATCCTATTTCTAGGTATTTCTGGGTTTCCTGGAATGAGCTGGTTCAGTCAACGGCACATGATTTACATTGTTGCAGAGCCTTGGCTCCAAGCTGAGCTCCCTCTGTGTGCCAATGAGATCCCCTTTCTGTATAAATAGTCAGAGGCTCATGCCAGTATTCATCAGCAGAGTGATTGTGGGAGATTAAAAGAGATGAACAGTGCCTTTCTGCGGTAAGCAACATGAGCTGCAGATGGATAGATTGTTATGTAACCTTTACCCACCGTGATGATCACTCAGTCGTGGGCTTTTGAGGCAACACAGACAGACAGACAGACAGACAGACAGACAGACAGACAGACAGACAGACAGACAGACAGACAGACAGACAGACACACACACACACAATTAAACTTGGCATGTCACATCACAATGTTGAAGCAGGATCTCAAGGTGCAGTATCCTTAGTTTCATTTGTAAGATCACATAGTGTACAGAAGTGTACAGTTGGTCTGATGGAGGCTTGAATTGTGTTAGCTTTAGGACCTATGGTGTACAGAATGAAATAATGATATTGGTGTATGACACATATAAACATCTGCTTATTCTCCCTCCCCTCTGTATAGAAATCAGCACCTATTGGACACAGTGACACTCCCCCTTGGAAAAGCCTGAAACATGGCACAGTAAGTTGGAAGGACATAATGACTAGGCTGAAAAGTTTTCAATGAAAACCAGTAGAACATTTAACATTAAATATTGAGAAATGTAAAATGACATGGGGTTGGACAACTGTGTGTGTGTGTGTGTGTGTGTGTGTGTGTGTGTGTGTGTGTGTGTGTGTGTGTGTGTGTGTGTGTGTGTGTGTGTGTGTGTGTGTGTGTGTGTGTGTGTGTGTGTGTGTGTGTGTGTGTGTGTGTGTGTGTGTGTGTGTGTGTGTGTGTGTGTGTGTGTGTGTGTGTGTGTGTGTGTGTGTGTGTGTGTGTGTGTGAAGCATCCAGAAGAAGACCAGTAGCATGTCCTTGACCATCTCCAGCTCCTCCAGAGCAATCTCCTCTTCCTCCTCCTCTTCCTCTTCCTCTACCTCGGTCCAGCAGCAGAGACACTCCAGCCTGGTGCAGCCCCTCTGCATCAGCCCCCAGAGGGTACCTACCTGACACACACACACACACACACACACATGCACAAACACACACACAGAGACATACACCCTATTATAGCTATGCTGATGCTTCGCCCACCACACCTTCACTCACAACATACAAGATAAACGTATTCATAATAAATATATATTTTATGTCATTAGTGAAAGTATTCACACCCCTTGACTTTTTCCACATTTTGTTGTGTTAGACCCTGAATTTAAAATGGATTAAATTTAGATTTTGTGTAACGGATCTACACACAATAACCCATAATGTCAAAGTGGAATTTTGTTTTTAGAATTTTTTATACATTAATAAAAAATGATGTGCTGAAATGTCTTGAGTCATTAAGTATTCAACCCCTTTGTTATGGCAAGCATAAATCAGTTCAGGAATAAAAGTTTGCTTAACAAGTCACATACGGTTGAAGTCGGAAGTTTACATACACTTAGGTTGGAGTCATTAAAACTTGTTTTTCAACCACTACACACATTTCTTGTTAACAAACTATAGTTTTGGCAAGTCGGTTAGGACATCTACTTTGTGCATGACACAAGTAATTTTTCCAACAGTTGTTTACAGACAGATTATTCAACTTATAATTCACTGTATCACAATTCCAGTGGTTCAGATGTTTACATACACTAAGTTGACTGTGCCTTTAAACAGCTTGGAAAATTCCAGAAAAGGATGTCATGGCTTTAGAAGCTTCTGATAGGCTAATTGACATCATTTGAGTCAATTGGAGGTGTACCTGTAGATGTATTTCAAGGCCTACCTTCAAACTCAGTGCTTCTTTGCTTGACATCATGGGAAAATCAAAAGAAATCAGCCAAGACCTCAGGGGGAAAAATGTAGACCTCCACAAGTCTGGTTCGTCCTTGGGAGCAATTTCCAAATGCCTGAAGGTACCACGTTCATCTGTACAAACAATAGTACGCAAGTATAAACACCATGGGACCATGCAGCCGTCATACCGCTCAGGAAGGAGACATGTTCTGTCTCCTAGAGATGAACGTACTTCGGTGCGAAAAGTGCAAATCAATCCCAGAACAACAGCAAAGGACCTTGTGAAGATGCTGGAGGAAACAGGTACAAATTATCTATATCCACAGTAAAACGAGTCCTATATCGACATAACCTGAAAGGCCACTCAGTAAGGAAGAAGCCACTGCTCCAAAACCACCATAAAAAAGCCAGACTACGGTTTGCAACTGCACATGGGGACAAAGATTGTACTTTTTGGAGAAATGTCCTCTGGTCTGATAAAACAAAAATAGAACTGTTTGGTCATAATGACCATCGTTATGTTTGGAGGAAAAAGGGGATGCTTGCAAGCCGAAGAACACCATCCCAACCATGAAGCACGGGGGTGGCAGCATCATGCTGTGGGGGTGCTTTGCTGCAGGAGGGACTTGTGCACTTCACAAAATAGATGGCATCATGAGGAAGGACAATTTGGCAAAGAAAGGAACTTTTTGTTCTGAATACAATGTGTTGTTAGGGGCAAATCCAACACTACACATCACTGAGTACCACTCTTCATATTTTCAAGCATGGTGGTGGCTGCATCATGTTATGGGTATACTTGTCATTGGCAAGGACTGGGGAGTTTTTTAGGATAAAAGGAAACATAATACAGCTAAGCACAGGCAAAATCCTAGAGGAAAACCTGGTTCAGTCTGCTTTCCACCAGACACCGGGAGACAAATTCACCTTCAGTAGGACAATAACCTAAAACACAAGGCCAAATGTACACTAGAGTTGCTTATCAGGACGACATTGAATGTTCCTGAGTGGCCTAGTTACAGTTTTGACTTAAATTGGCTTGAAAATCTATGGCAAGACTTGGAAATGGCTGTCTAGCAATGATCAACAACCAACTTGACAGAGCTTTAAGAATGTTTAAAAGACTAATGGGCAAATATTGTACAATCCAGGTGTGCAAAGCTTTTAGAGACTTACCCAGAAAGACTCACAGCTGTAATCTCTGCCAAAGTTGATTATAACTTGTATTGACTCAGGGGGTGAACTACCTATCTAATGAAGATATATTAGTGTTTTATTTTTCATAAAAAATGTATTGTACAATCTTAGCATTTTTCTTCCACTTTGACATTACAGAGTATTGTGTGTGGATCATTGACAAAAAATGACAGTCAAATCAATTTTAATCCCACTTTATAACAAAACAAAATGTGTAAAAACTCAAGGGATGTGAATACTTTGTTAAGGCCCTGTATATAATATATACCTTCAACTGCTCCTTGTCAATATGTTATGTACCCACAGACAACACATTACAGTGTTTATTTGTGTTTTTGAATCCAGACACAGAGCCCATCATATCCCCAACAGTATTCAGGGAGTGGTGGAGTGGCCCCTACTTTTGTCAAGGTAATACAGGATACATCTTTACCCCCATCTGGTGACTGAATATGGAACTAAAGCATGGATTTGTCTGGTTTGGAAATAAAGGTTGAGTCAAAGGTTGAATTGGACTTGGCCCTACATACATTCTATGAAGGTTCCTTCCTACTTACATCAGAACTGTGGACAGAGTTATGATCATTGTCATTCAACACATGGATTGACACCTGCTCTAGTTCCTCATGATTACGTAGGCATATGACATAGCTTTCCAGTCAGAAGATGAGAAAGGCCATTGCCTTAATTGCTGTCAGAGGTAAAAATATATATATATAATAAAAAAGTATTATAAATATATATATGTCAAAAGTGTTCTTGTCAGTTTGTTAATGATTGTGCCCTAAACATGTGGGTACACACTCTTTGTGTAGAGGGCGAGGAGAGGAGAGGAGAGAGGTTAGGAGAGGAGGGGCTTGGTGGTGGTGGTATGTGAGTCTCAGCAGCCAGCCAGTCACTTTGATCCAGTTCTCTTCGTGTCCAGTGTCTCCACGATGTCAGCACGATCAAGGGTCAGTTGGTGGTTCTAGAGTGCCGTATTCGTGGAACGCCACCACTGCAGGTTCTGTGGTATCGCGAGGAAGAGCAGATAGTGGACTCTGCTGACTTCCGCATCCTCAGAAAGAGTGAGTGGCAGCAGTGCATGGTGGCTCCATCGGGGTTGGGAAATACACACAGACCAAAAATTACCTTTGACCCAATAGGCACACACTGGTTGAATCAACATTGTTTCCACGTCATTTCAATGAAATTACATTGAACCAACATGGAATAGACATTGAATTGATGTCTTTGCCCAGTGGGGAGGCACTAAATAGAAATTATCTCTAAACGTTCTCCTTCTTTTTCAGAGGCTACTTCTGCATCAGTGGCAGGTGAGTGGGAAATCATATCAAAGGCCCACTGTTGGCTATTGTTGAAGGGCACATTTACCAGTGTCTTCCATTATAAAATGACATAACATTAACATGATACATTGGTGCTGGTATTGGTGTGCCATTCTCATGTGTCCCCTACTCTCCTTCCTTCATAGAGGAGCTGTGTACCCTTGTCATCACCGAGGCATTCCCAGAGGATTCTGGGATGTTCAAATGTATAGCAGGGAATCCGTTCGGAACAGTATCATGCAACGCCATACTGGAGGTGTACATTGGTGAGCAGAGACTCGTTTCAGAACTGGTCAGACACACAAGACTACTTTTGTGCTTTTACTCAGCTTTCTTCATCTGCTCTAATCGACATACAATCCTGAAATACATTCTGACAGTGTGATGTCTCTGTGTCCAGACCTGGAAGAGCAGATGGAGAATGAGCCACGCACGGATGAGCAGCCCTTAGAGTCTACCAGGCTGGAACCTGATGAAGTCCCCTCTTTACTGCAAGAAGTAGCAGCGATTCCCCCTCCAGAGTGGCCCGAGAGCCCAGTCTGCGAGATTGACCCCCCATTGGAAGAACAGTGAGTTCAACTATTCTAATATTCTGCAAAAACCCTAAAATGGAAAGATGAGGGGCCAGTATGCTGTTCTGTGAGACAGTATTAATTTATCAAAATACCTATCAATATGTAAAGTACTTTGGAGAAATTAACATAAATGTAATCTATGAAATGGCAGAGATGCAGAGGTTCCCACGGGGGGGCAGTAGTAAAAAAATGCTCTGGATAAGAGCGTCTGCTGAATGACTAAAATGTAAATGTCAGGAAAATATTTCCCTACTGTCAATTCGATTCAACTGCCACAAGAGGGGACTATTTCCTTGTTTTGAAGTTGCAGGTAGGCTGCCATAGTTTGAAAGGTTTTATGATCTAATTCTCAGTGTCCATTCATTAATTACGGTAAGAGAGTACTCAATTAAGACAGGTATTACAGCGCTGCTGATTGTTTGGTTTGTAGATGTGTTTGATTATCATCTGATTGTAATAACAGGGAGGGGCTTATTTAGCCTATTTGTCCTTAATTTTGATTGGAAACAAATGCAAGGAACGCATTTTATACCATGTTATTAAATAGCACTATTATAGATGATTGTGTGTAGGCTAGAGAGGCACACCGAATGGGGGCGACTGTGACATGTAAAATTAAAATAAAGGCAGGTCAGGTTATGGTGTCGGAAATGAGGGGTAGCAGCACAGCCGTGCTCTGAAATCAGCTGAGAGTCGCGTGCACGTCATTCTGCATACTTGACGTGGGGGTACACAATCTATACAGACCTTTTGCTCTCCGACTCAAATCAGAAACAATCAACTCTCTGTGGTTCAGCCTATATTGAAGTTGAAATATTGAGACTTTTAGTCTAGTAACTTTTATCCAGGTAAGCTTAATGCATTATTGTTAGATTTTTTTAAATGTTCTTCTATCACTCAATTGGTGATACATTTGTCACAGGTGCAACTGATTATAAAAGTTTGTCTAATTGATTTGTTTTTCTATTTAAATGTATATATCGAAATATGTGTGAGTGTGTAGAATCTTCTAATATGCACTGTGGTCATTTTCTAAATGGGTAAATGCAAATTGTATTTTTAATTGGATGTTACAGTACTGACATTTCTGCATGACATATCAGTGACTCAGTGAGTTGGTTAAATTGTGTTTTTGAAGGTCTGTGGCTGTGCTGTGTAGTGTCAAAGTGATACCTCTATAGCAATTTGTAGTAGGCTAAAGAGTAATAGTGCTCTGTAGAGACCCCAAGCATTGTCTAATGTATTTAAGTGTGCATACCAAAGCTAGTCCAATATGTACTCTTAAGGAGCCTAATGTTACCGTTACTCCTTAAGGTCCAAGGACCTTATACTACATGACACCCGAACATCTCATTCCAAAATCATGGGCATTAATATGGAGTTGGTCCCCCCCTTTGCTGCTATAGCCGCCTCCTGTTTTGGGAAGGCTTTCCACTAGATGTTGGAACATTGCTGCAGGGACTTACTTCCATTCAGCCACAAGCATTAGTGAGGTCGGGCACTGATGTTGGGCACTTAGGCCTGGCTCGCAGTCGGCGTTCCAATTCATCCCAAAGGTGTTCGATGGGGTTGAGGTCAGTCTCTGTGCAGGCCAGCCAAGTTCTTCCACACCGATCTCGACAAACTATTTCTGTATGAACCTCGCTTTGTGCACAGGGGCATTGTCATGCTGAAACAGGAAAGGGCCTTCCACAAACTGTTGCCACAAAGTTTGAATCACAGAATCGTCTAGAATGTAATTATATGCTGTAGTGTTAAGATTTCCCTTCACTGGAACAAAGGGGCCTAGCCCGAACGATGAAAATCAGCCCCAGACCATTATTCCTCCTCCACCAAACTTTACAGTTGGCACTATACATTGAGGCAGGTATCGTTCTCCTAGCATCCGCCAAACCCAGATTCATCGGACTGCCAGATGGTGAAGCGTGATTCATCACTCCAGATAATGCGTTTCCACTGCTCCAGAGTCCAATGGCGGCAAGCTTTACACCACTCCAGCCGACGCTTGGCATTGTGCATGGTGATCTTAGGCTTGTGTGCGGCTGCTCGGTCATGGAAACCCATTTCATGAAGTTCCAGACGAACAGTTATTGTAATGACGTTGCTTCCAGAGGCAGTTTGGAACTCGGTAGTGCAACCGAGGACAGACGATTTTTACGAGCTACACGCTTCTGCACTCAGTGATCCCGTTCTGTGAGCTTGTGTGGCCTACCACTTTGGGGCTGAGCTGTTGTTGCTCCTAGATGTTTCCACTTCACAATAATGGCACTTACATTTGACTGGGGCAGCTCTAGCAGGGCAGACATTTGACGAACTGACTTGTTGGAAAGGTGGCATCCTATGATGGTGCCACGTTGAAAGTCACTGAGTTCTTCAGTAAGACCATTCCAATCCCCCATGTTATATATATATATAACGTCAGGGGAAAAAAGCATTTGATCCCCTGCTGATTTTGTACGTTTGCCCACTGACAAAGAAATTATCAGTCTATAATTTTAATGGTAGGTTTATTTGAACAGTGAGAGACAGAATTACAACAACAATATCCAGAAAAACGCATGTCAAAAATGTAATAAATTGATTTGCATTTTAATGAGGGAAATAAGTATTTGACCCCCTCTCAATCAGAAAGATTTCTGGCTCCCAGGTGTCTTTTATACAGGTAACGAGCTGAGATTAGGAGCACACTCTTAAAGGGAGTGCTCCTAATCTCAGCTTGTTACCTGTATAAAAGACACCTGTCCACAGAAGCAATCAATCAGATTCCAAACTCTCCACCATGGCCAAGACCAAAGAGCTCTCCAAGGATGTCAGGGACAAGATTGTAGACCTACACAAGGCTGGAATGGGCTACAAGACCATCGCCAAGCAGCTTGGTGAGACGGTGACAACAGTTGGTGCGATTATTCGCAAATGGAAGAAACACAAAATAACTGTCAATCTCCCTCGGCCTGGGGCTCCATGCAAGATCTCACCTCGTGGAGTTGCAATGATCATGAGAACGGTGAGGTATCAGCCCAGAACTACACAGGAGGATCTTGTCAATGATCTCAAGGCAGCTGGGACCATAGTCACCAAGAAAACAATTGGTAACACACTACGGCGTGAAGGACTGAAATCCTGCAGCGCCCGCAAGGTCCCCCTGCTCAAGAAAGCACATATACAGGGCCGTCTGAAGTTTGCCAATGAACATCTGAATGATTCAGATCTCGCTGTGTTTGGAGGAGGAGGAATGCTGCCTATGACCCCAAGAACACCATCCCCACCGTCAAACATGGAGGTGGAAACATTATGCTTTGGGGGTGTTTTTCTGCTAAGGGGATAGGACATCTTCACCGCATCAAAGGGACGATGGACGGGGCCATGTACCATCAAATCTTGGGTGAGAACCTCCTTCCCTCAGCCAGGGCATTGAAAATGGGTCGTGGATGGGTATTCCAGCATGACAATGACCCAAAACACACAGCCAAGGCAACAAAGAAGTGGCTCAAGAAGAAGCACATTAAGGTCCTGGAGTGGCCTAGCCAGTCTCCAGACCTTAATCCCATAGAAAATCTGTGGAGGGAGCTGAAGGTTCGAGTTACCAAACGTCAGCCTCGAAACCTTAATGACTTGGAGAAGATCTGCAAAGAGGAGTGGAACAAAATCCCTCCTGAGATGTGTGCAAACCTGGTGGCCAACTACAAGAAACGTCTGACCTCTGTGATTGCCAACAAGGGTTTTGCCACCAAGTACTAACTCATGTTTTGCAGAGGGGTCAAATACTTATTTCCCTCATTAAAATGCAAATCAATTTATAACATTTTTGACATGCGTTTTTTCTGGATTCTTTTGTTGTTATTCTGTCTCTCACTGTTCAAGTAAACCTACCATTAAAATTATAGACTGATCATGTCTTTGTCAGTGGGTAAACGTACAAAATCAGCAGGGGATCAAATACTTTTTTCCCCTCACTGTATATATATATATATATATATATATATATACATATACATACATACATACATACATACATATCCTTAAAAAATATATATTCCCCTTTATTACTTTCCAACCCCGCCACCCTTTCCCTACTTGGAGTAAACTAGTGAACAACAATGCTTAGCCCTCTACTTCCAGCTTATACTTACTATCTACATTTTATGGACACAGTCAATTTTACAATAATTATATTTTGTTAGTTTTTTTCTCCTGAACATCTTCTACTCTCAACCTCTCCGATCATTTTCATGATGTCCATCCGGTTTGCTTCTATATGCCATATCTTTCTAACTGTGCTCTTTCACAAAATACTTATTATGGACACAGTATGCTTACATTATTAGTTATCTTGTTATTATTTGTTGTTAGTTATTAGTTCTACTGCCAATGTTTGTCTCTGGAGATCGCATAGCTGTGTGCTCGATTTTATACACCTGTCAGCAACGGGTGTGGCTGAAATAGCCAAATCCACTAATTTGTGTCCACATACTTTTGAATATATAGTGTATGTTATTTTCAAAGGTAGACTGGCTCTGGCAGCCAAATACTCTATCTAAACGTGAATTGATTCTTAATTGCGATACGGTTCTAGAAACAGAAAGCCCTTTATTTTCATATCACATCAAAATAATTTCACAAATGCAAAATACACACTTATTTTAACCGGTTTTATCACAGTTGCAGCCGACAGTATTTTTCAGTGACATGTTTCTGGCAGCCTTCCTTTACACACAGGTGTTCAGAGCATGCTAATTAGCACAGGTGGTCCCTCTTCGGTAAACACGCACTGTAACTTGGAGATATGGCAGTGTGGGAACACTAACCATATAAAGGTGTGTATCAATTTACCGTTTTAGTTTTTTGAAATGTGTTTTTCTGATATGAAAAATAAGGTCCTTATGCTTCCAAAACCATACTGCAAGCCATGAGTGTTAATGTTCAGACCCAGGCTTTTAACAAAAATCCCCCGTACAGAAGACGCCTTAGTCCAATGACTCTTATGTGTAATGGAACAGAGTCGTGATCGAGGGCTAACCAAAGTGTACAAGGCACTTGGTGCTGCTCCTTAGTGAATGTGGAATTTGATTCCTTAGTAAATTCTTTTAGAAATGTGTTTTAAAGCCTGAGTGAGTTGTGGTTTGAGTTAAGGCTATTCTCACATTTCTGTTAGTTTGGATATGCTAGGAATACTTGAATACCCTCCTAGTTTATAGCAAGGGCACATTGTGTTAGTGGTGTAGTTGGTTCACTAAGCTATAAATCCCCAAATATACTGTATTGACTCTAGCCTTTTCCCTAAGATTCTGAGAGTAAATTTAGCTGAGACTATGTTGATCTGTGATTAGGTTTGCATTATGTCCACAAAAAATAAAAAATAAAAATAACAGTCCGCTCTTCTACATTGGACTCGCTACCTGTCCTATCAATCAACATAACTCTCACTCTTTACTTTATTGATTCCCCTCAAAATGGAAAGAATTTGAATGTCAGTGAGGGAGATCCCTTTTTCCACAAGAGGAAAACTGGCTGCTTTCCAGGCAGTCACACAAAGCTCTGAAAGGACCAGAGCACTCAATAGCATATTCCAGTGTCCCCTTTCTGTTAGATCACAGTCATACCATTCCACTGTTCCCAAAGGGGAGGGAGGGCTTATTCAGTTGGAACTATTAGAGTTTCAGATCATGTGCAGTCTGCAGAGCTGGTAAGACTTGTTATTCTACAAGTCAGACAATCAAATCTGTTTGATTATGTATTTCTTTCTGAATTGTCTTTAGCATTGTGAGTAGAAATTAGTAGTATGGGTTAGACCCTGCGTGAATCTGTTGACGGTGGTTGGGATTTGAAATGCTCGTCACAGTATTGGCCGAGGGTGTCGGGGTTAGCTATAAATTAACTGCACCTGCCAGCTAATGTCAGTCAACACTACAGGCTCCTGATTTAGCCCCTCAAACTTTAATAGCTACATACGGCAACGTGTGTCCGCTACTCTTGTAGGTCATGTGGACAGTGTTTGTGTTCAAGTAATTTTTCCTTTCAGTGAGTAAGGCAAGCCAAAACATACAGCACATTAAACTTTTTATGGTGAATTTACTCAGACTATTTACTATGCAAAAAGGGGCACTCAACATGCATGGATCCACCTTCAAGGCTGAGCATGGGTATAACAATTTTACTGTAGGAAGGAATGTTGTTTCTATGGTCACCATTTATCCAGTTGACTTGAGTAATGCAAATTTAAGTTACCAAAGTGTTTTTCCTTGCAGGTCTCTAGAGCCTGCACTGCAGCCACCTAGTAAAACCCTAGAGGAGCCGTTCAGTCCGAGTGAAAAGAGGATTCACTGCTCAGAGGGCCAGAGGTCACCTGAAGCCCGCACGCCCACCCCACCCCCGCCGGCTGTGGAAAGAAAAACTACCCCCAAACTGTTCACTCCCAGCAAGCCCAGCTTCCAGAACTCAGGAGACTCTGGAGGCAGCAGTATGAGCAGCAGTGTGGCCGACCTGCCCACCTTCACCCCGAGCCTCTTTGCCCCCAGCGCCTTCAACTATGCACGGCCACGCCAGTTTATCCAGTCCCAGCCGGCCTTCCAGGCCCCCAGCTACGACGTCGCCCAGGCTCTGCCTCAGCCCAACGGGAACAGTAGCAAGGCCTCTCCCTCCTCCTCCAATCTGAGCTCCCCCATTTCCACCCCTGCATTCTCACAGCCGACGGTTTTCCCCCGTGACCCTCCTCCTCACTCCGCTGCTGCCCAGCCCATGTCCTCCTCCCGCGCCCCCATGCGCTCCACTATCACCCTCACCCCCAGGGTCCCCAGTGCTAACACCAGTGTCAGTGTCCCAGCCCCATCTGAGCCCAAGCCCCAGTCCTCTTCGGCTGCCTTCCTCTGCTCTGTCCTGCCCTCTCAGTCCACCCCACAGTACAAGCCTGCTCCCATGTCTGTTCCCCAGCCTCTATCACCAGCTCGCTCCCCACACTCCTCCAACCCTCCCAGCCCCCTGCCCAAGGCCCGCTCTGATGCCCCCCTGCACATGGCTCTCCCTACTCACAGCCTGCCTATGAGTCAGTCTCCCCACTCCCTAACTCCCACCACAGTTTCCATGCCACAGCCCTCCTTTCCTCCTCCCTCATGCGTGTCTCTGCCTCTTAGCTACGGAGGGACCCCAAACATGTGAGTTTCTGTATTTTGAAACTGTGAATAATATGTCTAAATCAGCTAGTATGTAATAGCCATTCACCATACACTGAGTATACCAATAATTAGGACCCCCCCATTAGGAACTCTACAAGATGTCGAAAGCGTTCCACAGGGATGCTGGCCCATGTTGACTCCAATGCTTCCCACAGTTGTCAAATTTGCTGGATGTCCTTTGGGTGGTGGACCATTCTTGATACACACAGGGAACAGTTGAGTGTGAAAAACCCAGCAGCTTTGCAGTTCTTGGCACAAACTACCATACCCGTTCAAAGGCACTTAAATCTTTTGTCTTGCCCATTCACCCTCTGAATGGCACACACAAACAATCCATGTCTCAAGGTTTAAAAATACTTATTTAACCTGTCTCCTCCCCTTCATCTACACTGATTTGAGGTGGATTTAACAAGTTACAACAATAAGGGATCATAGCTTTCACCTGGTCAGTCGATGTCCTGGAAAGAGCAAGTGTTCTTAATGTTTTGTACACTCATTAATGGTCGATTAATATTCTGGCTGTCTTTCCCTCTCCAGACTTCCCAAACTCATCCTGAAGAAGGCCCCTGTCCCTCAGCCAGTGTCCCACAACTCGGATGAGCAGATCCAGGGTTCCAAGGACGCCCTGATCCAGGATCTGGAGAAGAAGCTACGCACCAAAGAGGCCCGCAGGAGAAATAGCCAGGTATCCATTATAATGAACTGACCCGGAGTCAGTGGGCAGCGATGTGTTTGTCATTTTTGTGTGGATATACTGTATGTACGGATGTGGATACAGAAATGTATAATATACTGTATGTTGTGATGTGAGTTAAGACAGATGTTATAATCTAAATGTTGTCTTAGTTTATTCCCAAACCACATTAAATAAGTGCTTTTTTACAACTGCTTGTTTACTCCAATACCACATGAATGCTGTACAAGAAAATGTGGTTCCCATTTTGATTTGAACCCATACATCATCAGCCATTTGATATCACAATGTGGCAACTATGCAAGAGGGAAATATGGATTCATAATGTGTCATCCCCTTGTAGCCTCAAGGACATGCAATATTCTTGATGCCATGTGCATCAAGAGTGATTCTGAACTTTGAATAGATGGCTTCAGTAGAACCCAACTTCCAATTAATAGAGGCTTCAGTGGAATCACTGGGACTTAGTGGACCAGTGTACTATGATCAACACACGGCAGCTGTTGTGTTGAAGTAGACCCAATAACATTGGAGGCTGCTCTATGGACAGACCTACTGGCACAGCCGGTCCCAATTCACTCCCTACCCCTTCCACCTTATCCATAAACCTTCGATGTTTGCAGTTCTGAATAGATATAGCAGTTCAGTGTTGGAGCTTCCATCATATTGCTTCCAATGAGTAAGTTGGGACCATAGACTTAGATGGACAACTCATCTTTGTATATGTCCCATTATGGCATCTATGAGAGCACAGACAGTGCCATTAAGGCCATCTCCATTTTGAAGTAGTACATTTTCTTCCTCTACTACGTCTATGAGTTTGTAAACAAACGGAAAGGGTGCATACTACCACCTGGAGTGTGGTGTTTGAACAGGTATAAAGCCAAGGTTGGTGATTTACTGCCACCTGCAGTTATGGAATGTTTTCTCACAAGTATAATTCATTGGCTGATCCCTCCTGATGACCTGGATGGAATTATGTGATCCTTCCTTAACCTATAGGATTTCACACCGAATTGAGTACTTCAAAATGGTGAAAGTTCTCAATGGTGTTTCCCATGCTAAAACAGGCTTTTGGGCACGAGTTGTCTATCTAAGTCTATGATTGGGGCTTACTGGCCCGCTGCAGTATACTGGCTCACCATTGGCTGGTTTACGGGTACTATATAGTATACTGGTGTAACCGGAGGGATTTGAACCCGGGTCTCCCACGGGAGAAACCAAGGTCTTGACCTTTAGAACAAGAGGAAATTCCCTGTTTGGCCGACACTGACTTTGAAGTCTTAGTCGGGGCTACCTCATTATGTCCGCTACACTGGCTGGCTATTGGCTGGTTTACTGGTACTAAACATAATACTGGCTCACCATTGGCTAGTTTAATGGTACTAGTATACTGGCTGACCATTGGCTGGTTTCCTGTTTGTCCCCTGACAGAAGTTGTCATATGAGGAGCGCATGGCTCGACGGTTGCTGGGTCCAGATAACGCTGCCTCTGTCTTTGACTTTGAGAATTCCTCCGACTCACAACTCGACCAGGTATAATCTACTCATATCCCTTCTATATCATCTATTACAGCCCATTTGATTTGCAGGAAGTTCTTTTTAGGAGGTACAATACACTTAGCTCAAGTCATTGTATTTCAAGGATCCATGCTTTTGCCATGTTACTGTATGTCTTTGATGTTCTGCTAATACAGAGCATAAGTTTGTCAGGCTTGGAGCCGCTGTTACTAATACTATGTGAGGTTTAGATGGGATGTTCCCTGTACTGTGTGTGACTAGTCCCCTGTCATTGTCCATCAGCCCTCAATCCTCCTCACACAATGGGATTGGGCTCCGGCTCTGTTGTCCTCATCAGTCACAAGAGATAACACCACAGCCAATCCACAGCCCTCTTCTAAGAATGCTGCTAGAAATAGCAGGTGTGAAGACTGTGCCAAAGCAGCATTCTCCCAGGGATATGTAGTGTAGGATGCCAGAAAGAGACCACACACAATGGTACAACACGTGTGTCCACAGCACAGGCTTAGCCCCTAGCCCCCTACACTATTCCATTTACATTTTACATTTTAGTCATTTAGCAGACGCTCTTATCCAGAGCGACTTACAGGAGCAATTAGGGTTAAGTGCCTTGCTTAAGGGCACATCGACAGATTTTTCACCTAGTCGGCTCGGGGATTAGAACCAGCGACCTTTCGGTTACTGGCACAACGCTCTTACCCACTAAGCTACCTGCCCCCCCATCCAGCCACCCCTATTGCCCTAGGCTCCTGAGTGGATCAGCGGTCTAAGGCACTGCATCGCAGTGCTAGAGGCGTCACTACAAATCCGGGTTCGATCCCGGGCTGTATCACAACCGGCCGTGATCGGGAGTCCCATAGGGCGGCGCACAATTGGCCTAGCGTCATCCGGGTTATGGGAGGGTTTGGCCGGGGGGGGCTTTACTTGGCTTATCACGCTCTAGCGACTCCTTGTGGCGGGCCGGGTGCCTGCAGGCTGACTTCGGTCGTCAGGTGAACAGTGTTTCCTCCAACACATTGGTGCGGCTGGCTTCCGGGTTAAGCAGGCGGGTGTTAAGAAGCGCGGTTTGGCGGGGTCATGTTTCGGAGGACGCATGACTCGACCTTCACCTCCCGAGCACGTTGGGGAGTTGCAGCGATGAGACAAGATTGAAAAAGGGGGTAAAATACAAAAAAATAAAAACAATGGGTGAGCTTTAGTGTTGGCTAGTGTACAGGCAGTGATGAATCACTCTATATACAGTATGTGAATGCTTTTACACATGGCAAAATTGTAATTCCCAAATCTCTCTGTCCTCTATCTTGCAGCGAGAATCACCAGAGGGACGTAACACCGGAGGAATATGGTACATTTCACCAACGGTCGGCAAAAGCATGTGCATACATTTATAATGCTTGACATTTTTGTAATTTGGCAGACGCTCTTATCCAGAGCGACTTACAATAGTGCATTCATCTTAAAGGAGTAGTTCACTATTTTACAACTTGACGTTAGATGGTTCCTCGCCCTGAAAGTAGTCTATGGGCCAGGAGAAACTGTAATCCTGGTTCAGTTTTCTTTAAACCGCCACTACAAACTTTAGCTAACCTTAGCCACTGCAACCAATCCACCGCAATTAATGGAAGTGATGTGGGCATGTTTTTTTCTTTTTTTATGGCCAAATCACCTTTAAGTAACATCAAACCAAATATCGAGTTGATTTGAATTGATTTCGGGTGATTTGGACATAATTTTTTTAAAAACATGACCCGATCAATTCCATTGATTGTTAGCTTGTGGTGGCAAAGGTTAGCTGAAGTTTGTAGTGGATGTTTAAAGAACTGAATCATGGATTACAGTTTCTCTTGGCCCATAGACTACTTTCAGGGTGAGGAACCGTCTAACATCAAGTTGTAAAATAGTGAACTACTCCTTTAAGATATCTAGGTGACATATTTAAAATACTTATTTAAGAGGTAGGGTTTCAGACCTTTTCGAAAGATGGGCAGGGACTCTGCTGTCCTGACTTTAGGTGGACGCTTGTTCCACAGAGAAGAGCTTTGACTGGTCTGAGCGGGAGCTTCCCCTGAGCGGGAGGGCAAAGAGACCAGAGGTGGCAGAAAGGAGTGCTCGGGTTGGGGTGTTGGGTTTGAGCATAGCCTGACCCATAGGCAAGCACCAGAGTCTTGAAGATGATGTGAGCTTCGACTGGAAGCCAGTGGAGTGTGCGGCGGCGAGGGGTGACCTGGGAGAACTTGGGAATGTTGAACACCAAAATAGTTTTGCTTGTACCGAATGTGTACCGCATTACATAATAAAGCCATAGATGAGGAGACCAGAAAGAGGGGCAGAGTGCTCCACGTGAGGGTGAATGAGACCTGAGGCTTGGGGCTGGGTAGCGGGTTGTCTGATCCAGGTTGAGTTTCCTGGCGCTGCCGTGTGTTTGTGTACCGTTTCCACTGCCTACCACAGGCTCCGGTTCCCCCCGGCCATGCTGTAAGCGAGACAATAATAGACCATGTACTGAGTGAGCTGACATGTCTCCCAGTCTCTATGGCTATGATGTCTTCCTTACTGATGTTTCCTGGGATTGCCTTGTCTTCCCATTATGATGCACAGTCGGAAGGTGAAGGGCACATGCTGTGCTACATGAAGTGAGTTGGCTTAGAATCCATGTTGGCCATTTGTTTATGTCAATGTTAATGGGGTTTTCTGTACCGACGGTCAGCATGAATGGAGATGCAGCATTTGACGCTGTTGTCAATTAATTCAATTTGCTCTGTGAACCTGAAAAGACGAGAAGAGCAAGCTCTTTTGTCTGCATGGAAACTCACTCATTCGAAGTCAGCCATCGGAGCAGCTATGAATGAGAGCTCCTCTGTTCCTACCCCCTCCCTCTTCCTCTCTCACGTTCTCCTCACTATCACTTTCTCCACACTCTTTTCTAGGGGAAAGCACCACTCTGGTACTGATGGCAACGAGGGCTCGGCCATCCAGGAGAAGTGCTACGCCCCCCGCTTCATCCAGGTCCCCCAGGACCTTACAGTGGAGGAGGGCAGGTTCTGCAGGATCGACTTCAAGGTACAGCACTGGATAAGCAGTAATCGGTTTAGTCATGCATGTTAATCAAATACATTATGTACAGTGCCTTGCAAAAGTATCCATCCCCCTTGGCATTTTTCCTATTTTGTTGCATTACAACCTGTAATTTAAATGGATGTGTATTTGGATTTCATGTAAAGTGAAATGAAAGAAATTACTTATAAAAAATAAATAACGGAAAAGTGGTGTGTGCATATGTATTCACCCCCTTTGCTATTAAGCCCCTAAATAATATCTTGTTCAACCAATTACCTTCAGAACTAACATAAGTAGTTAAATAAAGTCCACCTGTGTGCAATCTAAGTGTCACATGATCTCAGAATATATACACCTGTTCTGAAAGGCCCCAGAGTCTGCAACACCACTAAGCAAGGGGCACCACCAAGCAAGCGGCACCATGAAGACCAAGGAGCTCTCCAAACAGCTCAGGGACAAAGTTGTTGAGAAATACAGATCAGGGTTGGGTTATAAAAAAATATCCGAAACGTTGAACATCCCACGGAGCACCATTTAAATCCATTATTCAAAAATGGAAAGAATATGGCACCACGACAAACATGTAAAGAGAGGGCCGCCCACCAAAACTCACGGACCAGGCAAGGAGGGCATTAATCAGAGCGGCAACAAAGAGACCAAAGATAACCCTGAAGGAGCTGCAAAGCTCCACAGCGGAGATTGGAGTATCTATCCATAGGACCACTTTAAGTCGTACACTCAACAGAGCTGGGCTTTACGGAAGAGTGGCCAGAAAAAAGCCATTGCTTAAAGAAAAAAAGAAGCAAACACGTTGGTGTTCGCCAAAAGCCATGTGGAAGACTCCCAAAACATATATGGAAGAAGGTACTCTGGTCAGATGAGACTAAAATTGAACTTTTTGGCCATCAAGGAAAACGCTATGTCTGGCGCAAACCCAACACCTCATCACCCCGAGAACACCATCCATCTTTCATTGGCAGGGACTGGGAAACAGGTCAGAATTTGAAGGAATGATGGATGGCGCTAAATACAGGGAAATTCTTGAGGGGAAACCTGTTTCAGTCTTCCAGAGATTTGAGACTGGGACGGAGGTTCACCTTCCAGCAGGACAATGACCCTAAGCATACTGCTAAAGCAACACTCAAGTGGTTTAAGGGGAAACATTTAAAATGTATTGGAATGGCCTAGTCAAAGGCCAGACCTCAATCCAATTGAGAATCTGTGGTATGACTTAAAGATTGCTGTACAGCAGGGGAACCCATCCAACTTGAAGGAGCTGGAGCAGTTTTGCCTTGAAGAATGGGCAAATATCCCAGTGGCTAGATGTGCCAAGCTTATAGAGACACACCCCAAGAGACTTGCAGCTGTAATTGCTGCAAAAGGTGGCTCTACAAAGTGTTGACTTTTGGGGGGGGCGAATAGTTATTCACGCTCAAGTTTTCTGTTTCTTTGTCTTATTTCTTGTTTGTTTCACAATAAAAAATATTTTGCATCTTCAAAGTGGTAGGCATGTTGTGGAAATCAAATGATACAAACCCCCCCAAAAATCCATTTTAATTCCAGGTTGTAAGGCAACAAAATAGGAAAAATGCCAAGGGGGGTGAATACTTTCGCAAGCCACTGTAGCTAGCATTCAACATTTACAGCTGGGATCCATTTCCTATGTAGGAACTTATTGCTAAGGTATCTTCTGTAAAGACCTCGTTAAACTTTGACACGGACTCATGCAACAATTTATTCAAGTGTATTGTAATTAAAGCCTCTGGAGTCCAAACATGAAACCCAATATCACATCTGGACAGAATAACCAGGTTGTTAAAAGCTACCTTGTACTCTCCTCCCCCCTCATCCACTTCCTCCTCTGAGCTATCACACCCCTACTCAGGGTCCCTGCACTAAGCCCCCTATGACCTCCTAGTCCACACTCTACCTGGGTCACTCGCTCATCAAGGCTGTGTCCAGGGTTGTATTTATTAGCACACACTGTAGGAAAACATATTGCAACAAATTGTTTCCATTTTCTTCTGTTTGTTGGACAAATACACCCCTGGCTGTGTCCTCAGGTGGGAGGTTTGCCCACCCCAGACGTGGCCTGGTACCTGGACGGGAAGGCCATTCGCCCGGATGACTACCACAAGATGCTGGTGTGTGAGAAGGGCATGCACTCCTTCATCATTGAGATCGTTACTGTGCACCATGCCGGTGTCTACGAGTGTATTGCCAGGAACCGCGCTGGGGAGAACCGCTTCTCCATAAAACTGGAGGTTATCGGTAAGGGCTATTTTGACTACTGTATTCTGTCAAATAATCTCTTAGCAATGATGCTCTAACACTGCTTCACCCCCTCTCCTCTTCAGCTCAGGAGGTGCTTCGCCCCCCCACCTTTGTCCAGAAGATGATGAACTCTCGTGCCCTGGAGGGAGACACAGTGAGGTTAGAGTGTAAGGTGGCTGCCTCCCCTCCACCAAAGCTCTTCTGGAAGAAGGACAAAGAAATGATGCGCATTGACCCCACCAGGATGAGGTGGGTGGAGCTTCAATTCCAAGTTTGAATCCTCTCCGAAGGAGAAATACTCACAGTAGAGATTGTAATTTCTGTTAGCTGACTTGAATCTAGCTGAACTGTGTTTGTTAATCAGCTGATTTAGCTTTGCTAGTTAAGGTGAACCTCTGTTAGCTATAAGTGAGAGGTATTAGCTGTGAGCGGGGCCGTTGATTCCATAAGGGAGTAACCCAGGCCTGGTGTGTCTTCCAGCCTTTACCAGGATGGCACTGGAAGTCAGTGCCTGCTCATTGAGAGGCTGGTAAAATCTGATGCAGGCTGGTACACCCTGTCTGCCATCAACGAGGCCGGCATGTCTACCTGCAACGCCAGACTGGACGTAGGAAGTAAGTGGACCGTTTGTGCGCATGTGTGTGTGTCTGTGCTTATCACACCACACAGTGTTTAGTTAAGAGATCTAATTGGCTGATCCCTGTCCATTACCTATTACTGTATGTGTTTCAAGAATTAAACTCATAAACACCACATAAATGCTGTGCCCATCAACCTCCTGTGGCCCTTCACAGCTAATAGTGTGCTGACATCTGCACTAGTGGGACAAAGGCAGGGATTACCACACTGTTACATCAGAGAGACAGACAACGCTGTAACCTTGCACTCAGAATGTCCGCTATGACAGGGCATTGAAATGTCAACGGCATACTACACTACTGTACTATACACAGTGGTGGGAGAAGTACCCAACTGTCAAGTAAAAGTAAAGATAATAGAAAATGAAAAGTGAGTCACCCAGTAAAATACTACTTGTGTAAAAGTCAAAAAATATTTGGTTTTAAATATGCTTAAGTATCAAATTTAAATGTAATTGTTAAAATATAGTTAAGTATCAAAAGTAAAAGTATAAATCATTTCAAATTCCTTATATTAAGCAAACCAGAGAGCAGTGTTTTTTATTTATTTAGGGATCGCCATGGGCACACCGACACTCACAAATTAAGCATTTGTGTTTAGTGATTCCGCCAGATCGGAGGCAGTAGGGATGACCAGGGATGTACTCTTGATAAATGTGTGAATTGGACCATTTTCCTGTCCTGCTAAGCATTCAAAATGTAATGAGTACTTTTGGGTGTCAAGGAAAATGTATGAAGTAAAAAGTACATTATTTTCATTTGGAATGTAGTGAAGTAAAAGTTGTCAAACATAAATGGTAAAGTACAGATGCAACTTAAGTAGTACTTTAAATTATTTTTACTTAAGTACTTTACACCACTAAATGACCAGTGTTGTACTGTAGCAGCAACGGGAAATGGTCTGTTACTCAATATTTGTAGTACTTTCTGCTGTTACAATGGAGAGGGACCAATTTCCTGTCATTTCTCCCGCCGTCCTGCAAATACAGTAGTTGTATCATTACAAGGCTAGGAAAATGAGGGGCCGCTGTATTCATTGTGCCTGGCTGGCTATTACATTTCTCCTCGATCACATAACATGCCATCTGTTACACGGACCGAGAGCAGCCATATTGAGTTTTACCTCTATTCAGCCTAGCTAGCTGAAGAAGTAAAGTCTGCAATTGATCGGTGAGAGAGAGTGCATATACTTGCTCTGTCCTCTCAGCGCAGGGTTACTAAATGGAAAAACTGACTCTTCTTTATTCGTATGATTGTCTCATCGCGACGATATCAGGCCCCAACTGTGCAACACAATTTAGCCGGGCACTCTGCTGGCCACAAGGAAAGCTTGTCTTTCGACCCCCAAGGTTTGAACCTGTAACTGGAGATGGTGCTTAATACAGAAGAGAGGGCAGCGACGCCATGCTCACAGCACAGGCATGCCTCAATGGCTCTTGTACAAGCCATAATACCAGAGCAGTGTAGCTTTTGGAGTTCTTTTAGGAAAATCTCTTAGGATAGCAGCACATTCTTCCTGTAGATGAGGTCCAAACATTTCTGATGGTTTTAAAAGAAAAGGTTGGTAATATTTACATTGACCGGCTTTATTTTCATTTAGTTTTATTACCTGGCTCAAACGCAACATATTATTATTATTATTATTATTGCATTAGAGGTTCAAGGAGACTTTTCTGAATATATCTTGACCTTTTTGTATTCCATTCTGTTTACTCCTCTCTCTGCAGCTCGCACCAACAAGACTGCCCCCCCTACAGGCAAGCATTTTAAAGTCCCCCTCCTCAGCCATCTCCCTGTCCTGACTCCAGACCCCACCCCCCAGAACACGGCCCCCCTGTACGAGAGCGAGGAGCTCTAGACAACACGACACCAGCAGTGTAATACCCGTGGATGTGTGTTGTGCTCCTTGTTATACCTGCCTGTCTGTCCGTCCACTGAGGCTGTCCTGTTGTCTGTCTTGGGGAGGAAACCAATCGAGGTTTTGAGGAAGCAGGTAGATGGACTCTCACATTTTACCCACACTGTCTCAATCCAGGACACCTCACCAGACCCCGCATTTGTCAAATGCACTTTAGTTTGAGCCCTTACGATTTTGTGTCAAGGGCAGGCTGGTCAGATGTGGCTTTCCCAACCGCACATCCTCTTAGTGTGGCGTTGCCTTCCTGGCCAGAGCACTTGACTTGACACAGACCTTTTGTCAAATGCTGTCCTGTTGTTTGCTGTTCTAGCGGATAGAGAATGAATCATGTATCGTCTCCAGACATGTTACTATGTTTGTGTAGGTCAAATGGTTTTATTATATAAGCTATTTATTGGACAATTAGTTCTAAATGTAAATGGTTGCCGTAACACCCAAATTTACTACAACAAGGTCTAATCCTGACCATAGAAAAACATTTGTGTTATGTAACGTGTATGATGTGAAATTGAATGGATGTGTAATAAAGTTTTCCTGACCTTATTACAGGTGGTCATCTCATTTCACGTTCAAAATAAGATATCAAATTGAGTTCTTATACACTGAACAAAAATATAAACACAAAATGTAAAGGCATGTTTCATGAGCTGAAATAAGAGGCCAGAAATGTTGCATACGCACAAAAAGCTTATTTCTCACATTTGTTAGTGAGCATTTCTCCTTTGCCAAGCTAATCCAGCCACTTGGCAGGTGTGGCATATCAAGAAGTGGATTAAACGGCATGATCATTACACAGGTGCACCTTGTGCTGGGGACAATAAAAGGCCACTCTAAAATGTGCAGTTTTGTCACAACACAATGCCACAGATGTCTCAAGTTGAGGGAGCGTGCAATTGGCATGCTGACTGCCGGAATGTCCACCAGAGCTGGTGCCACAAAATTGAATGTTCATTTCTCTACCATAAACTGCTAACATCGTTTTAGAGAATTTGCCAGAACATCCAACCGGCCTCACAACCGCAGACCACATGTAACCACGCCAGCCCAGGACCTCCACATCTGGCTTCTTCACCTGCGAGATCGTCTGAGACCAGCCACCCGGACAGCTGATGAAACTGGGTTTGCACAAACTGTTGGGAAGCTCATCTGCGTGCTCGTCGTCCTCACCAGGGTTGTAACCGACTCCAGTGGGCAAATGCTCATCTTCGATGGTCACTGGAGAAGTGTGCTCTTCACGGCTGAATCCCAGTTTCAACTCTACCGGGCAAATGGTGGTCACACCAGATACCGCCTGGTTTTCTGATCTAAACCCCTACCATTTAAGGTATGTGACAGATGCATAGCGGTGTTCTCAGTCATGTGAATTTATTTCAATTGACTGGTTCCTTATGAACTAACTCAGTAAATTCTTAAACTGTTGTTACCTTTTCCAGTGTAGCTATAACTTAGTTGTGAAGCATTGTAGCCATTACGTTTTGTAATTTATTTTATATTTAAAGTAACAATTTCATCAAAACATTTAACACTTTTTTTTTTTTTACTTGATATTCAAAGGATGGACCTCTGATCCCAATGTGTGAAGTGGAAAACTGGCAATATGACTGACAAGTCCCCTCTTGACACAGCACCGAGCAACAGGTAGTAAAACACAAAGTCAACCCCCACTGGACCGTTAACCTGACAACCTTTAGGACCAAGAGGAAGTCTCTTCCATCCTGTTCTGATGAAAAAGGCCCAGACATTTCAAACAATATAAGAGACGACATAACGTTTCAGTACATGATGGTGTATTGGGCTCTGCTTGGAGGTCTTCTTCAGGTGAGTCAGAAGGTGACTGACTGAGGAAGTGCTTGGCAATAGAACTGCTCAGGATGATGTCCTCTACATACTCAATGACACGTTTACACATAGTAAAAAATAAAAAGGAATTCGTGGTGGTAGTCTCGCTCTAAGTACAGTAAGGTCAAGTCCATGTGATGGCTTTGGTTGAATCGCCCATCATTTCTTGGGGAGGAGTAATCATGGGGTCCACTTTCCAGAGACTGCAGCCTTAAGACTATGGTTTCCCAATCATATCAGAGGGAAAAGTCTGACATCTGAGCGCTCAAATCTCCACATCGCTCTCCTTGTCGTTGTCATGGTCACCATCATAGAACTCATTGGCTGCCTCCGGCCTGTAAAGAGAACATAAGCCATTTAATTCCAGAATGTTCAAACACCATACAATTTTCACAGTTCACACATATACTACATGCAGTTAGACCAAAACGGGTCATATTGACTCCATTACTAACACATATGATAGAACGGATATTGCTCCTGTGTGTCACAAAGCCGACTACGAGTGTATTCACCTGGAATAGTTGTCCTCTGATCCCCTCTCGTCTGGGTCTCCCTCGTCAGTACGCTCGTAGCTCAGGATGTCCGAGGGCACGTCGTGGATCTGGACACTGGGGGCGTGGTTCAACATCTTCAAGTTCTCAAAGACTGTAGAACGTATCTGCTCCAGGTACTAAACAAACACAGGAGGAAGAGGAAGATAAATCACTTAAAACTGGAGAAAATTATTTTCATGATCACACATATTCAATAGTTTGAATCCTTGTTGAAAACATGTAGACTGTGGTTCAGGAATACACAAGAGAAGAAGAATGTGAGGGAGTGTGCATGCAGTGCATTCTCAAACTTACCTGTCTTGAATTCTGGTTCTCTATCCTGGTGCTGACGTCTGGGTGGAGCGTGAAGTCTGGCGCAAAATACTCAAAGTACTCTGGAGGGGTGAGAAAGAAAATGAGCAAATTAAATAGTGCTTCTACACTGAACAAAAATATAAAAACGCAACATGCAACAATTAAGATTTTACTGAGTTACAGTTCATATGGAAATCAGTCAATTGAAATAAATTCAGTAATCTATGGATTTCACATGACTGGGAATACAGATATGCATCTGTTGGTCACAGATACCTTAAAAAAAGGTAGGGGCGTGGATCAGAAAATGTGTCATTTGCTTTATGCTGCGCGACATATTTCGCATAGAGTTGATCAGGCTGTTGATTGTGGCCTGTGGAATGTTGTCCCACTTCAATGGCTGTGCGAAGTTGCTGGATATTGGCGGGAACTGGAACACGCTGTCGTACACGTTGATCCAGAGTATCCCAAACATGCTCAATGGGTGACGTCTGGTGATTATGCAGGCCATGGAAGAACTGGGATATTTTCAGCTTTCAGGAATTGTGTACAGATCCTTGCGACATGGGGCTGTGCGTTATCATGCTGAAACATGAGGTGATGGCAGTGGATGAATGGCACGACAATGGGCCTCAGGATCTCGTCGCGGTATCTCTGTGCATTCAAATTGCCATCGGTAAAATGCAATTGTGTTTGTTGTCCGTAGCTTATGCCTGCCCATACCATAACTCCACCGCCACCATGGGGCACTCTGTTCACAACGTCTGCCATCTGCCTGGTACAGTTGAAACCAGGATTCATCTGAGAAGAGCACACTTCTCCTGCGTGCCAGTGGCCATCGAAGTCAGTTACAACGCCGAACTGCAGTCAGGTCAAGACCCTGGTGAGGACGACAAGCACGCAGAGGAGCTTCCCTGAGACGGTTTCTGACAGTTTGTGCAGACCCACAGTTTCATCAGCTGTCTGGGTGGCTGGTCTCAGACGATCCCGCAGGTGAAGAAGCCGGATGTGAAGGTCCTGGGCCTGCAGTTGTGAGGCCGGTTGGCCGTACTGCCAAATTCTCTAAAACGACGTTGGATGCGGCTTTTGGAACAGAAATTAACATTTGAGTGGCCTTCTATTGTCTCCAACACAAGGTGCTCCCGTGTAATGATAATGCTGTTTAATCAGCTTCTTGATATACCACACCGGTCAGGTGGATGGATTATCTTGGCAAAGGAGAAATGCTTTGGGATGTAAACAAATTTGTGCACAACATTTGAGAGAAATAAGCTTTGTGCATATTTTATTTCAGCTCATGAAGCATGGGACCAACACTTTGCATGTTGCGTTTATTTTTGTTCAGTGTACATCATAGAATGTCGACATATCAAACCAATGTACAAAAGGCTTGCTCACTTACCACTATAGGGCAGCTCATCACTAATTGGCTCATCAACCAGGAGAGAGGTTTCATAGGTCCTAGAATGGCAGAAGAGCAACAATGTTCAGTCTTAAGTGGTTCCATATACACTGAACATTATCTTCTGTCTCCATTAAAAACAACTGTCACCTAACCTCTACACCAGGGGTATTCAAGGTCCAGAGCTTGCTGGTTCAGTTCTACCTGATAATTAATTACACAAACCTGGTGTCCCAGGTATAAATCAGTCCCTGATTAGAGGGCAACAATGGAAAAAAGGCAGTGAAACAGGCTTCAAGGTCTAGAGTCGAGTTTGAGGGCTCTACACTGTAGTCTAGTTACAGCAATGAAATAAATGAGCACTCACCAGCATCTGGCCACATTGCGTACTGTGTACCCTCCTCCTCCCAGCACCAGCAGGGGAATCCTGAAGCTCTTTACAAACTCCACACATTCCCTATAGGAAAAATGTGTACCCTGGGTAAGACAGTTTACCATATCCTGGCTCCTGTGTAAATTGGTACGGGATTTTCTGTAATCCCTTAAATTTGCCCTTCTACCAGTAGGTTGCAGTATATCCTCATATTAAGGAGTACATTGACTTCCATCCACCAAACCTGCATCCTTATCACTCCTAAGACACTTACTTACCCATGGCCTCGTATACTGAGGTTGAAGCATCCTAGTCGGTCACAGCCCAGAGAGTCAGCCCCACACTATCAATGACAAGAGGTGCATGTATGAGTCCCATATTCAATACCTCATGCGAAAACGCCAATGATGATCTCTGGCTGCCAAATGCTCACCTGAAGAACGATACAGGTTGGCTGGTAGAAGTCCACCACTTGCTTGATGACTGGCTGAAACAGTTGCCTGTAGCCTAAGAAACAAAGTGCTATAATGATAAGGTATTGGACACAATGAAGAGAATTCATCCTTTCAATCATTCTTGCCAATTATGCAATGTTTTGCTTAATTGATCCCCTATCAAAAATCAGGAAACATCTGTTGTTGGTTATTATCCTGTATGCTATCAGACCCTTTGTAACACATTTTAACACCCATCAGAGAGATGTTAATAGTTTAGACATCAGATAAACTAATAGGCAGCATAACACATCTGATAAAAGCACTCCCTAGAGACATCTCACTGGTCTAATAGCATTATCAGACTGGCGTGCCAGAGAGCCACCCTGAGTGGGGGATCCAGGAAGGACACTACTCACTCTGGTCATCGATCCCATCCCGGAGAGGCACATTCAGGCAGTAGTAACGGCCGCTCTCAGCCCCTACCTCATACATGTCACCTATGGGACAAAACATTCAAACACAATTTGTTTATCAAAGACTAGGCTCTTTCACACAAAATTGGTTTGGAGCAGTTTTCCCGAACTTTGCCGCGTTTTCCCCCTTAGTTCGGTTCATTTGGACCAGTGTGAACAGTATCCGCACTCGGGAGCGCACTAAACAATGCACTATTGTTCGCTCAAAAAGGGTGGTCTCAGTCCATATCTATATGTACCGTGGTGCGGTTCGCTGCATGTGAGAACGCAGTCCGGACCAAACACAGGAAAAGAACCAGAGGCACGCATTATTATTGGTTGTTTGACTGCGAGCATTTGATAAAATGTACGCAATCCCATAACTTGATAACTCTCAAACATTCTGTGAGTAGTGGCGCATTTATGAGCGCATCCGATGCAGATTAGGGGAGATAGGGGCTATACCGGGGATATAGGCTATTGAATAGCTAATTCACGTCAAAGTTAGAGCAGCTATTGCGCCGTTTCCACAGGTTGTTAGCCGTTTCCACGGGTTGGCAGGTAACAGGTAGCTTAGTGGTTAAGAGCGTTGTGCCAGTAACCGAAAGGTCGCTGGTTCTAATCCCTGAGCCGACTAGGTGAAAAATCTGTCTGTGCCCTTGAGCAAGGCACTTAACCCTAATTGCTCATGTAAGTCGCTCTGGATAAGAGCGTCTGCTAAATGACAAAAAAAAAGGTTTGGGACAAGTTATGCTTCTGGAGCATTTTCTACAACAAAACAAATGACTTGCATGAACATGTGATTTTGTTTAGGCATTTTAGTTTGTTTGACATTTGGCAATGTGAAACCAACCGGACCAAATGAAAAAAATACAATGTAACAAATAATCAAACTGATTCGAACTATAGCTCAGAACTATGTTTGCACTAAGACACCTCTATTGTCCCATAGAGATAATTATTTAGTCATTAAGACAAACTGTATCTCTATTTCTCAATGAGTATTCTCACTGATTATAACAGACACTCATATGGCTCGTCTTACCTGTGCCTGGGAAGAAGTAGTTCCCATACTTGTGGAAGGATACAGTCATGACCCGATCAGTCAGGTAAAAGGCTTCCTGCACCCCATCGCCATGGTGAATGTCAATGTCTATGTAGAGCACACGCGGGTGGTATCTAAAGATACATTTACATTATTAGTTGTCAGTGATCCTTAGAGGGACGTGAACCCAGAAACAGATAATATATATATATTTGGGAAATAGTAAAATACAGACTGTAGGGGTGCTTTGCTCTTACTTCAAAAGCTCCAGTATACTGATGACAATGTCATTCACATAGCAAAATCCAGAGGCCTAAAAACGAGTGAAATCATGACATCATAAAAAGCTGTACATAGGCATAATAAAAGATGACCAGAGGCCGTAGAAGTAAATTGTCTTGACAAAGAAACAAATGCATGTCGCATAATTCTTACCTCAAATTTCTTAGCATGATGAAGACCCCCAGCCCAGTTGATGGCAATGTCACATATCTGCAAAACAATGGTCCCGATCAATACACAAATCACAAAGCCTGGTCGACTATTTACCTGGCTCTGTAAATTGCTTGGCCTAAATAAATATAGCCTACCAGTAGATAGAATAAATTTATAACATAGTCCTGACATGACAGAAAAGAAGCTGAGCTTACCATTTTCCCTAAAACAAACTGACCTTCAGTGGTACAACATGATGTGTGTGTGTGTGTGCATACCTTGTGGTTTAGCTGTGTTGCTCCCTGTAGTGACGCTCCAGTATACCTGGAACAGAACTCAAACAGGCCCGGGAATACAGGGCTGACAGAGGACACATGCATTACCACACAGATATATGCATACGTCAAACAGATATTGATCACAAGTTGCACATTACAGTGAGCATAATATTACAAAAACAACATTCTGTATTATGACACATTATGTATTTCACACACAGTTGCATTGTCCTCAAGTCACACATGAATCCAAATTTACACCAGGTTATCAAATCAAATTTTATTTGCCACATGCGCCGAATACAACAGGTGTAGACCTTACAGTGAAATGCTTATTTACAAGCCCTTAACCAACAATGCAGTTTTAAGGGGGGGGGGGGTGTTAAGTAAAAAATAGATAAGTAAAAAAAAAAAAAAATAACGCAAATAATTAAAGAGCAGCAGTAAAATAAAATAACAATAGGGAGGCTATATACAGGGGGTACCGGTACAGAGTCAATGTGTGAGGGCACAAGTTAGTTGAGGTAATATGTACATGTCGTTAGTAATGTAGGCTAATACATTATAGAACCCTCAAACTCAACTCTGGACCTCGAAGCCAGTTCCACTGGGTTTTTCCATTCTTCCCCTCTAATCGGGGACTGATTTAGACCTGGGACACCAGGTGGGTGCAATTCATTATCAGGTAGAACAGAAAACCCCCAGGCTCCAGACCTCATAGGGGAAGAGTTGAATACCCCTGTTATAGAAGATAGATAAGACATTCTCACCAGTCATCCCCCACATTGAAGGTGTTGAGACTCTTTGTGAAGCCCTGCATATTGTTGGGGCTGACCTTCTGAAGAAAGTCAATGTAATCTTCTGAGTGGAATCGGCACATGTCATGTTGGGAGGCTTTGTATGGTTTGAAAACCTGTAAAACAAGGACCAGTCAATGCATGAACATTGTGTCAAGAAGGACATGAATCTGTCTGGTTTCATCTGGTACTTTTCAGCATGACTTACCTGCATCTTTTTGTATAGGCCATAGTGCAAAACAAGGCTGTGCGTCAGAGAGAGACGATGGGGTTTCATAGGGTGACCAGCACCTTGATAAAGAAAGGAAAAGCAAAGAAAGAGGGAAACAATGTTTCAGTTAGTGTTATTCTCTCCTATGCAGTTATCAATTTCTTGATTTCTCTGTGGTTCTGCGTGATGCTAGCTATCATTCATAACCTACCTAGCCAGTAAAAATTAGAATAAAGCAAATCTAACGTTACTCTTGCAAACACACGACTACTAACGTTAGATAGCGAACAAGTTTCGAGTTTGCGGCGAGTTCAATTGACCTGATTCCTAGCATAAATAATAATCAAATAACGTTACGATCTAATCACAAATTGAAAAGGAAATAACTTTAGCTAGCTATTTATCTAATAAGTTAGCCAGCTTGCTAATATGCTATGCTAGTGTCTAGCTTCGTGTTTTTTGTAGCCAAAATGTATCTTACCATAATGAAAGTTGCCCACGTCCGGATCATAAAAATATGCTGTTCTGTTTGACATTGCAAATCAGCCTCCTTTTTTTCTACGGTTCACTGGGTATTTGTTACTGTAAATATATAGTTCCTTCATTTAGCAAGTAGCCGCCATCGTAAACGGCGAGTAAAACTTACGTCATTGTTCAGCGACAGTCAAAAGGGGGGCGGGAGCAGGGGTCATGGCTAGAAGGATCCAGTTTTTGTCAAATAGAGTCGCACCAAATATTTGTTTGAACTAACCCAAGATAGATAGACCCCAGCCTGTCGTTTCCAACCGGAGCTAATTACTCCTAGTGGGCAGAACAAGCAAGGAGCCAAGCACGAGCTAGCGTGAGCCTATTGACGCGTTCTATAATTTATTTGCATATTTCCGTTAGGGACCGCCTAAATTGTGAAGTGCGCGTGTGCAATAACTCAATTCACCTTCGCACTCCTTCTAAACAACGCAAACACATTTTAAACTTTGGCAAAGGGTAAAGTCTACAAAACGTATCAACTCTGTTCGTAACAGATTTTAGTTTTGGAAACACAAAACTGTATGAGCTCAAATGTTTAATCAATTAGCAGAAATCCATCTCGGTCTATCTTCTCCCACTGCCGGTCTCTGGGCTTCCTCTCACCACCATATTTGGTAATGAGTGGAAACGCCAATCAGATGCTTCACATTTATACATCCGGTGAAATATTTGTCTCATTGTTCTATCTGTGGTACCACCGTTGGGCTCTATTAACGTTCGATTTGACTTTTCGTATCAGGTTAGAATTTACGAAGCAGGTTAGAACAATTAGTTTAAGGTTAGAAAAACAGTTAGGGTTAGCTTAAATGCAAAATAATCAACTTTTGACATTAATTTGACAAAAGCTGGATAGCTTCTAGCCATGCCCGTGGGCAGCGGCATGGCTAGAATAGATCCAGCTTTTGTCAGAATTGACTTTTCATAGCAGGTTTATGAGAACTTAAGCAGCAGGTTAGGAGAATTAGGTTAAGGTTAGGAAAAGGGTTAGGGTTATAGTTAGCTAAAATACGAAAAAAAATATCAACTTTTGATGTAAATTTGACAAAAGCTGGATTCCAGCTAGAGATAGAGGACTCATCTTTGTAATTGTGTCATTAAAGCATCTGTGACAGCGCCATTGAGGCTATCTCAATTTTAAAGTAGTCAATTTTCTTGTTCTTCATTGGCTGATTGCTCTGAACTCATAGGAATCCCCACCAAGTTGACTACTTTAAAATAGCTGAAGCCCTCAATGGCAATGTCCATGCTAAAATGGGTTATAGCCATGATGAGTCCTCTAAAATCAAATCAAATTGTATTTGTCACATACACGTGTTTAGCAGATGTTGTTGTGGGTGTAGTGAAATGCTTGTGCTTCTAGCTCTGACAGTGCAGTAATATCTAACAAGTAATATCTGACAATTTCACAACATATACCCAATACACACAAATCTAGTAAGGAATGGAATTTAAGAATAATAATAATATGCCATTTAGTAGACGCTTTTATCCAAAGCGACTTACAGTCATGTGTGCATAAATTTTTACGTATGGGTGGTCCCGGGGATCGAACCCACTACCCTGGTGTTACAAGCGCCATGCTCTACCAATTGAGCTACAGAGGACCACCAAGAATATATACAAATATGGACAAGCAATGACAAAGCGGCATGGACTAAGATACAGTAGAATATTATAGAATAGAATACAGTATATACATATGAGATGAGTAGTGCAAGATATGTAAACATTATTCAAGTGACTAGTGTTCCATTTCTTAAAGTGGCCAGTGATTTCAATAGGCAGCAGCAGCCTCTAATGTGCTAGTGATGGCTATTTAACAGTCTGATGGCCTTGAGATAGAAGCTGTTTTTCATTCTCTCGGTCCCAACTTTGATGCACCTGTACTGACCTCGCCTTCTGGATGATAGCGGGGTGAACAGGCAGTGGCTCGGGTGGTTGATGTCCTTGATGATCTTCTTGGCCTTCCTGTGACATCGGGTGCTGTACGTGTCTTGGAGGGTGGGTAGTTTGCCCCCGGTAATGCGTTCGGCAGACCGCACCACCCTCTGGAGAGCCCTGCGGTTGCAGGCGGTGCTGTTGCCATACCAGGCGATGATACAGCCCGACAGGATGCTCTCAATTGTGCATCTGTAAAAGTTTGTGAGGGTTTTAGGTGCCGAGCCAAATTTCTTCAGCCTCCTGAGGTTGAAGAGGCTCTGTTGCGCCTTCTTCACCACACTGTCTGCGTGGGTGGACCATTTCAGTTTGTCAGTGATGTGTACGCCAAGGAACTTGAAGCTTTCCACCTTCTCCACTGCGGCCCATCGATGTTTCCTCTATCTATCTCTATGACAACAGTCACAACTCCGATTTAAAGTTGTTTTTGTGGGGTGAATTGCCGAAATGCCACTAATGTCAGTGCATTCATAACAACCTAACCATTACGATAATTATATTAGATCAAATAAACCTCACGTAGCAAATTAGCAATACCAATATTTTCGTGGACAGATTTTGGGCACTGTGTCCCAGTGTTGTTGCCGTTCATACCCTCCCCACTGAGTAGTAGACTGTATGTATCACAGGAGGTTGGTAGCGCCTTAATTGGGGAGGACGGGCATGTGATAATGGCTGGAGTGGAATAAATGGAACGGTGTCAACAGCATCAAACACATGGTTTCCATGTGTTTGATGCCATTCCATTTACGCCGTTCCAGCCATTATTATGAGCTGTCCTCTCCTCTGCAGCCTCCACTGGTATGTACAGTATGTATCAAGGTGAAGTCTAGATGGTTATCAATATTAGTTATTTCTTGTTTAGGCTGCTTTCCTACTTCAAATAAAATAATGTTTGAGAAAAAAATTGGCAAGTTAGCTACTGCCAGCGACACAACCATGATACCCAGAAGGAAGCACTTCAAGTCGGCAGGCACAACACCGGAGCACTGGTCGCAGGCTTACTATCAACTCGTAGTGCAGCCCAATCAGCCACGCAAAACGGTCTTGAGTGGCAACAAATCTGCCAAATTAGCTGATTTGTTCAATTTTCTTCAACCTACCATGACGGAGTTAGTGTCTACAATAAGCTCTCTATAGAGGCCAATAGTAATGGCGTATTTTTTGTACACCAACTTCGCTCCCGCTTGCCAAGCACTACTGTTGGACAAAGCCTATGGGGAAAATAATGGGGGTTTTGGAGGGTTTTTGGATAAACGCAGAAAATAAGGTCTGTGGTAAACACAGGCTTAGGATGGAGATCTTATATGTTTTCTTCTGTGAGATAATCTTCAGCTAATGTCACTTTTTGTGAATTTTGAAGCATTTATGTAATCAAAAGAAGCACATAAAGGCTTCATAACAGATTGATATTACAGTGAGGGAAAAAGTATTTGATCCCCTGCTGATTTTGTACGTTTGCCCACTGACAAAGAAATGATCAGTCTATAATTTTAATGGTAGGTCTATTTGAACAGTGAGAGACAGAATAACAACAACAAAATCCAGAAAAACGCATGTCAAAAATGTTATAAATTGATTTGCATTTTAATGAGGGAAATAAGTATTTGACCCCTTTGCAAAACATGACTTAGTACTTGGTGGCAAAACCCTTGTTGGCAATCACAGAGGTCAGACGTTTCTTGTAGTTGGACACCAGGTTTGCACACATCTCAGGAGGGATTTTGTCCCACTCCTCTTTGCAGATCTTCTCCAAGTCATTAAGGTTTTGACGCTGACGTTTGGCAACTCGAACCTTCAGCTCCATCCACAGATTTTCTATGGGATTAAGGTCTGGAGACTGGCTAGGCCACCCCAGGACCTTAATGTGCTTCTTCTTGAGCCACTCCTTTGTTGCCTTGGCCGTGTATTTTGGGTCATTGTCATGCTGGAATACCCATCCACGACCCATTTTCAATGCCCTGGCTGAGGGAAGGAGGTTCTCACCCAAGATTTGATGGTACATGGCCCCATCCATCGTCCCTTTGATGCGGAGAAGTTGTGCTGTCCCCTTAGCAGAAAAACACCCCCAAAGCATAATGTTTCCCCCTCCATTTTTGACGGTGGGGATGGTGTTCTTGGGGTCATAGGCAGCATTCCTCCTCCTCCAAACACGGCGAGTTGAGTTGATGCCAAAGAGCTCCATTTTGGTCTCATCTGACCACAACACTTTCACCCAGTTCTCCTCTGAATCATTCAGATGTTCATTGGCAAACTTCAGACGGGCATGTACATGTGCTTTCTTGAGCAGGGGGACCTTGCGGGCGCTGCAGGATTTCAGTCCTTCACAGCGTAGTGTGTTACCAATTGGTTTTCTTGGTGACTATGGTCCCAGCTGCCTTGAGATCATTGACAAGATCCTCCCGTGTAGTTCTGGGCTGATTCCTCACCGTTCTCATGATCATTGAAACTCCACGAGGTGAGATCTTGCATGGAGCCCCAGGCCGAGGGAGATTGACAGTTATTTTGTGTTTCTTCCATTTGCGAATAATCTTACCAAATGTTGTCACCTTCTCACCAAGCTGCTTGGCGATGGTCTTGTAGCCCATTCCAGCCTTGTGTAGGTCTACAATCTTGTCCCTGACATCCTTGGAGAGCTCTTTGGTCTTGGCCATGGTGGAGAGTTTGGAATCTGATTGAATGATTGCTTCTGTGGACAGGTCTCTTTTATACAGGTAACAAGCTGAGATTAGGAGCACTCCCTTTAAGAGTGTGCTCCTAATCTCAGCTCGTTACCTGTATAAAAGACACCTGGGAGCCAGAAATCTTTCTGATTGAGAGGGGGTCAAATATTTATTTCCCTCATTAAAATGCAAATCAATTTATAACATTTTTGACATGCGTTTTTCTGGATTTTGTTGTTGTTATTCTGTCTCTCACTGTTCAAATAAACCTACTGTCACGATCGTCGAAAGGATGAGACCAAAGCGCAGCGTGTTGAGCGAACATCGTAGACTTATATTTATAAAGAAACCACGATCGAAAACAATAAACCAAAATAGACGAAAGTGAAGTTCAATGCTGAATACAACAAACAGCAACACGGAAACAAAAACCCACAAACAAAGGTGAAACCACACAGATTAAATATGGCTCCCAATCAGAGATAACGAGCCGAACAGCTGACACTCGTTACCTCCGATTGGGAGTCATATGCCCAATTAACAACAAAACCAAACATAGAAAATGAACAACCAGATCCCACATAGAAATACACCCAAAAGAAAATGACAACCCTGGCTCACAACAAAGAGTCCCGGAGCCAGAACGTCACAGTACCCCCCCCTAAAGGCGCGGACTGCGACCGCGCCTCACAACCC